AGAAAGGTGGACATGGGCCCTAAAAGAGAGATCAGAGAGGTGAGACCGGTGAGAGAGAGGAAGGCATGGGCACCAACAGAGAGGTGAGAGAGGTGGACATGGGCCCTAACAGAGAGGTCTGAGAGGTCAGAGAGGTGAGAGAGGGGGGCATGGGCACCAACAGAGAGGTCAGAGAGGTGAGAGAGGTGGACATGAGCCCTAACAGAGAGGTCTGATAGGTCAGAGAGGTGAGAGAGGAGAGCATGGGCACCAACAGAGAGGTGAGAGAGGTGGGCATGGGCCCTAAAAGAGAGGTCTGAGAGGTCAGAGAGGTGGACATGGGCCCTAAGAGAGAGGTCTGAGAGGTCAGAGAGGTGGATATGGGCCCTAACAGAGAGGTCTGAGAGGTGAGAGAGGAGGGCATGGGCACCAACAGAGAGATGAGAGAGGTGGGCATGGGCCCTAACAGAGAGGTCTGAGAGGTGAGAGAGGTGGGCATGGGCCCTAACAGAGAGGTCTGAGAGGTCAGAGAGGTGGATATGGGCCCTAACAGAGAGGTCTGAGAGGTGAGAGAGGAGGGCATGGGCACCAACAGAGAGATGAGAGAGGTGGGCATGGGCCCTAACAGAGAGGTCTGAGAGGTGAGAGAGGTGGGCATGGGCCCTAACAGAGAGGTCTGAGAGGTGAGAGAGGTGGGCATGGGCCCTAACAGAGAGGTCTGAGAGGTGAGAGAGGTGGGCATGGGCCCTAACAGAGAGGTCTGAGAGGTGAGAGAGGTGGGCATGGGCCCTAACAGAGAGGTCTGAGAGGTGAGAGAGGTGGGCATGGGCCCTAACAGAGAGGTTTGAGAGGTGAGAGAGGTGGGCATGGGCCCTAACAGAGAGGTTTGAGAGGTGAGAGAGGTGGGCATGGGCCCTAACAGAGAGGTCTGAGAGGTCTGAGAGGTCAGAGAGGTGAGAGAGGAAGGCATGGGCACCAATAGAGAGGTGAGAGAGGTGGGCATGGGCCCTAACAGAGAGGTTTGAGAGGGGAGAGAGGTGGGCATGGGCACTAACAGAGAGATCAGAGAGGTGAGAGAGGTGGGCGTTGGCACTAACAGAGAGATCAGAGAGGTGAGCATGGGCCATAACAGAGAGGTCTGGGAGGTGAGAGAGGGGGGCATGGGCCCTAACAGAGAGGTCTGAGAGGTGAGAGAGGTGGGCATGGGCCCTAACAGAGAGGTCTGAGAGGTTAGAGAGGTGGGCATGGGCCCTAACAGAGAGGTCTGAGAGGTGAGAGAGGTGGGCATGGGCCCCAACAGAGAGGTCTGAGAGGTCAGAGAGATGGGCATGGGCCTCAACAGAGAGGTCAGAGACTTGGGCATGGGGCCAATCGAAGGGTTGGTTGTCATAGAGAGGGAGGCAGAACTGTTGTCTCTAATGTTGTCCGGGCCATCATCATTGATGATGTGGTGAACCGAGGCCGTACTATGGCAGAGGCTGTCAGATTACTTAATCCAAATGTAAAAAGATCAACTGTCAATTCTATCATCCAAACTTTTCACCAAGAAAACCGGTAAGTGTTTTCCATGTTGACTGCATCATCCACAGACCTGTTTGCTCTGTACGCAAACTGAAGAGGATCCAGCAAGGGTCCAGTGATGTCCTTCAGGCAGGCCAGGACCAGTCTTTCAAATGACTTCATGAC